AGGTCAATGAGAAGGCCCCACCAGGCCTACTCTTTCCTCTTTCCCTTTTTGCCTTGTTGGTTTTTTGCTGCTTTTCCCCTCCAAACAGGAAACCTGACAAGCTTGAGCCAGAAGGGGCGGTGACTAGAATGTCTTTGCTCTTGAGAGCACGCTGTCCCAAGCAGGTCCTGAGTTGCCCCTCCCCTTGTGCTCCCTTAATCATGGGTGTGGGTTCTTGAGCTGGAAAGGGGCCTCTGAGAAGCCAAGCCTTCACTCTCTGTTTTTCAGCCCTGTGCTTTAGGGATCCATGAACGCCTTATCTCTTCCCATTCTGACTGCAGGTTGGGCCTTCCTTACTGCCAAAAGCTGAAATATCACCCATCCCTCACTGACCAGGCCCAGGCCAAAGGCAGGGCCTTCCTGCAGCCCCTTCTTCCTCCTACCGCACTCCTTGCCTGAGTGCGTGGACTTAAGTCGGCTGTGCACCGCGTCCTGTCTTTCAACCCAGAGAAAGGAAAGCCTAAAACCCATGGTTTCAACAAGAAACGATCCACAGAAGTGTTTGTGATACCGGACTAGGAAGCCTCCCCTCACCCAGCGTCCCAGGACTCCCCTAAGCTACTAAAACTGCACAGAGCAGTAGCAGATAAAATTCCAGATGCAATCTCTCCCTAGTCTTATTCCAGAAGCAAGAGAGGTGCAGGGCCCCAGGTTGAGCAAGGCAGCTCGTGGGGCCCAAAGCTTCGCATAGGATAACTAATGGGCTTGGTTTCCTGGTAGTACGCTGAAGTACATTGTCGTGGGGCATACCCACTTGTCCTCCACGCCTAAAATACTTCCACTGCTGCAGTAGCACCAAAACCAGAATCGTTCTCTCACCCTGTCACTAGCTACAGAATCCTGAATGGCCTTGACCACTGGCCCAGGCCTGGCGATCCCCAGGTTGGACATGGAAAGCCTGTCTTGGACTTGCTTGCACAAGGATCTGTCTCATTTTGTAAAACGTGATATCGATTCGATGGCATTTTCACGACTGTGTTTGTAAGGCTTGTAAAAGATCTTGAATCAGCTTTTAAAAATCCCAATTCTGTGGACGGCAGAGAGACTACGAGATTTGGTTGGAATTCAGGAGATTGTTTGCAAGATCTGTAAAACCCTGACTGGCCCATGCTGACTGATGGGGTTAGGTTTGGGACGAGGTGGCAATTGGTAATGGCCCTGTGGGAATCTGGTAACCACTTCCTTAATCTCTTTTTTGCTTTTCTATTTTTTCCCCTGACCTTCCTCCCTCAAAAAGGGGGGGATGGAAAAGGGCTGGCCTGAGGTGGGACCCCCAAAGAGCCTATGAGGGCACACAGAAGGAAGGCTGTGCTAGAAACCGTGTGCCTAAGTCTTTCTCTCTCCAACCCAAGAAAGTTTATTCTTTCCTTAAAAGCAAGAGTTATCCAGGAGAGGATAAAATTTAGCATTTTTCACAGACAAGATGCAATGCATGAAAAAGGGGGACTTTTTTCTTAAAAAGCTGTTTGAATAAAATAAGTTTGAGTTATTGGTTCTTCAACAAAAAATCAGACAACAATTATTTCAACCAATATTATTTGAAGTGAAAATAGCCACTTTGCAGGTGTTAGTTGTTTACATTTATCATTTCTCTTCCATTCTTCCATGTCCTGCACAGGCTTGGAGCTGGTGACAGTTTACCACTATTATTGTTATGCTTTGACCTGGATTCTAGATTTAATTGTCTCAGCCAGTAAAAGGATTTGATTTCTCAGCTAGGAACCAGAAAATGTATTTCCAGTTTTTGTAAAGATTAAGATAGAAAACAATTAAATTGAAATCTTTACGTGTAAGACAAGGATAGTGCATATTTAAGTTGGCGGTCGATCTATTTATTCTTCCATATATATGTACATACATACATACATACATACATACATAATACATATGGAGAGAGAGAGAGAGACACACACACACACACACACACAGAGAGAGAGAGAGAGAGAGAGAGAGAGAGAGAGAGAGAGAGAGAGACTCCTGACTGATTCACTGAGTGGGGAACAGGAACTCCACACCCTCAATAGAGCCTTTCCTGAGGTGGTGAGAGTGACTACCCCAGGACTCTCTGCTAGGTCACAGCCACACAGAAAACTTACCTTTCATCTTCTCTTCAAAGGGTAGGCTGGCAGTAGGGTCGCACAGTTTGCCCTTGCCCTGGGCTGCCCTTTGAGCCCCTCCATTTCGACCAGCCTGGAGCTGGGCCTGCAGGTGTGTGGCAGGACCCCGAAGGTCCATCTCCATTCAGCCACGAACCCAAAGCACACAGGTGTGGCCTCTGCCAGGCACAGGCCCTCTCCAAGAGCCGCCTTCCATGCCATAGCCAATTCTCAGGGCCCGGCCAGGCCAGCAGGCCTCAGAACTACAATTGGTCTCTCCGATGTCAGAATCTCAAAGTCAACGCGTTCCCCAACTGGCAACTGGCGTGCGCCCCCAGGGCGCCTTTGGGACGCGTAGTTTGGACAGAAGCAGCCATGACCGGCCGGGCGGCCTGTGCAACCAGTCTCCATGGTGCTGGTTGTGGACGAGGGAAGGTCCCGAGTCTATTCCGGCGACTGAGGTTTCTATCATGGGTAGCCGAAGCAGGGAGGTTTCACAGCCAAACAGACCCTGGGAGACTGCCCCTGGTGTCCCCCTCTGTCCACCTCCCCTTCCCCTGCTTCTGGGGAATCTCTGAGGGGCCCGTACAGCAGTCGCGCCAGGCTCAAAGAGGCGGGCCGCTGCTGGCGCCGGTCCCGGTGACCGCCACAGCGTGGCAGCAGCGAGCTCCCAGCACGGTCGCAATAAATAATCCGCCCGAGGCAGCCACAGTCAGGCAGCCAGCGGCCCTAGGAGGCAAATGTGGTGCTTTATCTGCCCCTGCCCGGGGCGCACCCACGGCGTTGTCCGGCGAACACTCCAAATATCAACGTGTCCTTTTTAATTGTCTGGCCTATGCCGAGATACTGAGACAGGAAAACAACAACAGCCAAAACCCAAATAAACAAAAAGAACTGTAGCTCAGAAGCCCGCGACTGATTCTCAAGTGGCTGTCTCTTGGGGCAAATCTGACCTGATCAGGTGCCCTTTCAGGCCCAGCCACCATGGCTGGTACCACCGCGCAATGCAAAGCTACCGTCAGGCCAGCAGCACTCAGTGCCGCCTTGCGGCTAGCTGTTATCCTCTCCCTGTGGCTTGGGAGGTAGGAGACCCCAGACTGCCACTGTCCTTAGGTGGACTGGGACTGTCATCCTGTTAGTTCTCAGACTCCGTTTTGCAACCTTCCTTCATAAACCTTAGATACTGCCCTTCCACATGCGCCAACATAACCATCCTCTGCATGGAAACATCCCCCAGTAGCATTCAATTAATCCGATTTTCTCCTCCAAAACAGAAATCCAAATATGCACCTCGCCCCCTTCCTAGAGCTCCAGACACTACTCTGGTCGGAAAACCGAGCAAATGAAGCAGGCAACCATCGGAGAACTCTGAATTAGTAAGTTTTGCTTTTGTGTTTGCTTGTTTACCCCATTCTCCCTTCTCTCTGAGATTAGCGCCACAGAACAGAACAGTGTCCTGAAGCTAACACAACGACTGTGGGTTACCACGCTTTGCTCTCCTCTCTGCCCACATTCCCAGGTCGGGAACTATCTCTGGTTATTGGGGGAGACCGTTGAATCAATTGGGTCACGAATAAAATAATCCTAACCCCCAGAGGCTGATAGGGAACCGGAGGATGCCAGATGACTTTCCTTTGGGCTTCCTGGGGTCAGTGGGGAAGGGGGAATGAAGACCGAAGCCCTTCTGCCCAGTGCCAGGGCACTGTGCCACAGAGAGAAGGCTGATCTGCCTTCAGAGAGGAGAGGGTGTGATGTAGGTGATGGCGGTAGTAGGTGAGAATGAGTGACGTTTGGGCTGTGCTGTGTATCGGGCCGAGTGTGAAGGGGTAAAACCGATGATGGTGAGAAATGCCCCTTTCCAAAGTCGTTCTGAGTGCCCTCTCCCATCACTATGGCACCTCACCCACCTTTGCCCTGTCTCCTTCCCAGTGTCTCACCTTCAGACCTCGGCTCCCAGAAGCTCCTGCCTCTCTGACAGCTGTCGGCTTCGGCAGCCCAGGAGACGAATTGTCCTCCTTCCTGGTGCCAGAGGACGCAGGAAATTAGCCAGGTTGTGAGTTGCAAAGCGGCGGCTGCTGCTCCAGGAACTGG